TGCCTCTATGTAGGGTTCCCCATTTTAATGCTCTAAAGAGAGAGGAACAAGAAGTTGACACTTACTGAGAAGTGACTTAGCTACGTTCTCAATGCTGTGACAAAAAAAAAAAAAAAAAAAAAAAAAAAAAAATCTGATACCCATAAACTAAAAGATGACAGATTTATTCTGGTTTACAGTTTGCAGAGATTTCAGTCCACAGCTGGCTGGCTCCAAAGCACGGCAGTGTAACGGAGGAACATGGCAGAGGAGAAACAGTCCATGGCAGGGAAGGCAGGAAGCAGCAAGACTGCCTCCTTCTTTCCCTTTTTATTTCATCTAGATTACAAGCCTTTCGGATGGTGCCACTCACACAGAAGGTGGGTTTTTCCTTCTTCAGTAAATTCATCACCCACAACTAGAACTATGCTAAACCAATCAGTGGATTAATTCAGTATCACACACTCAGGATCCAGTCACCTCCCAAAAGCACTACCCATTAGCACAGGAGGCTTGGGGGAACATTCACATACAAGCTATAACAAGCAGGAATCCTGAGGTTCTCAGCACTGGATACTGGGGCTTTCTTCTGCTGCACTGGAATCCTGGGCCAGGCAGAATGGGGCAAGACAAGTATAAAACTCGGGAGCCACTCTGCCTGGGTTCGGAGTCTGGCCCTGCCTGTCCCACAGAAGGGAGGAATTCAGGATAGTGACTCAGCCCAGCCAGGAAAAATAAGTGTGGCAACTCCAATGCCATGGTGATGTCTGAGCTCACAGTTGATGCGCTCCTCCCAGTGAGAATGAAGCCTGAGTAGAGCAAATCTCTCTAGGGATGACATGCAACTGCTCTGGAAGCTGGAATTCAACACTGCTGAGCCTGAATCACCTGTTTGCTGAAGTCCCCCTATTTTAGGTCACCACTCATACTTTTTCTCTTAAGTTCCACTACCAATCTGACATTTCTATTTGACAGCTCACAAATGTCTCAAAAGTATTATATTTAAAATAAAATCCTTGCTCTTTTCCTTCAAACCTGTGCCTGCATCCATAACCATCTTCCACATCTCAGTGAATACCATTATTTTCCCAATTAGAGTTGCCAAAAACCCAGGAATTACTCATGATTTTTCCCTTTAGCTTTCAGTAAGGCCAAGTCATCTAAGTCCTTCCCTCTCAACCTTATATCCCCTGTTCCATCCATCTCTACGCCACCTTTCCACCTGGGCCAACACCTCTCTGAAACGGAGCCCTTTGGGAAATCAGACCTTGCCTCAACTGCTTTCCCAGAAGCAGATTCTCAAGGACAAAATGTACTACGACACTCCCTTTCAGCACTAGAACAAAACCCCCGTTCCTTTGCAAGGCTGGTCCATCTCTCAGCCACTCAGGCTGGTCTCTTCTGGGCACAAACAGTTGCTACCCTCATCTCCCACACAGTTCACATTAAAGCTCCCTGAGTTCTCAGCTTTAAGACCACTTTCTCTGAGGCTTTTCTTGCTCTTATTCAAAGTGAGTATTTCCTGACATTGGGGTTTGTTTCCCTAACTCAGCTGCTTTTTCCTTTCCTCCACTGCTTTTATTATAATATACAATTATTCCATTTATTTGCCATACATACCCTTTTGGAATGTAAGTTCCATAGAGGTAGAGGTTACAGAGTTTTATTTTAGTCAGTCTCCGTAACTGACTATGCTGTTTTAGGTATAGTATTTCATTTTTCTTCCCTGCACACCCACACGGGGTACTGGGCATTGAATCCAGAGCCTTTACAGTGATCTACATGTCCAGCTGCTTTTACTTTTATTATGAAACAGGGTGTCCATAAATTACTCAGGCTGGGTTTAAACTTGTGAACCTCCTGCCTCAGCAGCCCTGAGTGCCGGGATTACAGGTATGCACCATGACCGGCTTCATTTGCTCTTTACCATAACCATTATTCCCATTTTAAAGATGAGCCAACTAAAATAGGAAATACTGACAGTGTAAGCACAGCTTCTGCATTCAGAAGCAGGACATGGTGCCGCACAGTACTGAGATGCCTGTTCTGATCCCAGCCAGCTGCCCTATTCCCAACACCTGCAAGAAACCCTTCGCCTTGACACACCTTCCGACCCCTTCTGGCTGTCACCACAGAGGAAGTACTGCTGACACAGGACAGCCGGATAAACACCCAGGACATGTCAACCTGGGTTACAGCCCTGCAGACCAAGGATCGAGGAAGAGCGAAGGAGGCGTGCTTTCCTCCCACGTGTGCCCACTCAGGATCGGCTTCAGCGGCATGGCTCTACTCTCATGAGGGTTCCCACGCCCTAGCAACCAGTCCACATCTAAAGCTGAGAACCAGGTCCAGCCCAGGGCTCTCCTCCGACCCAGTCTGTGAGCTAGACCTCAACAAAGCTAAACACTTTGCTCAGGTGCCTTTGAAACAGGCAGACTTGGGGGGCAGGGGGGAGGTCCTGAAAGATGCTGGTTTTCAAACTGGGAAGCACAACTCTGGATTGAGACGTCAATGTCATGGGTTATAACAGCATAAAAGAAAATAAAGGAGATCGGAGTGTACCACACACACTCAGAGAGTCAACACTGCTCTATGAAATGTTTGCTTTCAGTATCTGCATATACAAGCCACTTGGTGCTTAGTCTCAGTTCTCCTCCCTCCTGTGCCTGTTCCCAGCCCCAGGACCAGAGCCTCAGTGGAAGCTCTTCTTGGGTGGCCTTGACTCCACAGCCCAGCTACTGCAGGTCATCCCTGGGTGCCTGCAGGTCCTTTGTGGACTCCTTAAGCCTGCTCTTACTTCTGAAAAAGAGTCCCTTTATTAAATCTGCTTCCCTCCAGACACAGACATACCACAGATAAACAGACAGGGAGACAGACTGACAAACACATATAGATGATAGCAGGCTGTGTTTTCAGAGGTGTGAGCAGGTTTAATGTACTGTTTATTGGGAGCTGTGGTCAAAAAGCTCCAGAAATACCGTCCAGGTTCTTTCTACACCTCTGCCTCCTTCTGGCAGATGAATAGAAAGCAACCAGGTTGAGATTCCAAAAATAAACATTTCAAGAAATCCATTTGTACAAAGGTTAGCATTAAGTAATACATACTATCCAACCCGCCCCCCCAAAAAACACAATGATTAAAACAGATTGTCTAGCAATGCTTTGCTCTGTCCAACAGTAGGAAAGACCACTTTGATGACTTGTCGGTGTCCAGCACTTATGGAGAAGAGCCTCATTCTGTTTTTAACTCCTAGAAATCTGTGCTTCTGTCATGGACCTTTCTTCCTAAGCAGAAACAAAGCCATTCTGGTGACAGCCTAATATTTAATGGTTGTACTTGATCAGCTACAGGTTAATTCCAGAAGAGTAAAACTGACTCTCAACATACAAGACCACGGCTACTTCAAAGGTCCACATTTAGACCTTTCACCTCATTCCTGGAGAGTAAAGAAAAGAACAAATGAGACAGCTGTTTGAAAACACTAAAACTGTTCTTCTTCCCAGGAACTGGATGGCTTTTCTGATGCTTTGGCAGGGCCTGTGGGCTGGTGAGGAGTCAAACTCTCAGGCCCAATCTTTGCAGAACCACCTTTCCAGAGTGTCCTGTGGCCACTCCTGTAGGTGCTCAACAGGACACAATGTCTGGACTATGGACTGCAATGTGTTCACCCAGTCTCCACACATCTGGTGACCACTGCCCTGGGCATACCCAGGATATGATCTACCACACTCATGCCCTTCTAATGCCCAAACCAAACCCGAGTGTTACACCATTACACGGATCCAAAACTCTAGGATCCATGGGCTTTACTAAATCCAAATAGAAACCATCCAATTTAAGAAGATTCAAAAGAAACACAATTATAAGGAAAAAAAACCGCAAAAATAAAAATTAAAACAGGCGATCGAAACTATCATTATTCCAAAATTTGTTATGGTCTCTCCCTGAAAAAGAAATGCCATTCTATAATTTACTGCAAAGTGGTTACTGTGCATGCTACCCACTCAAAACAGGCACTTTTACTCTATCACTAGATCTCACATCAGTATTACCCATTTCCCTGTTTCATAGTCTAGAATTGTTAAATGTACGTAGACACAAAACATTTCCCCATGCACACCGATCCTTTTAGCTCTGCTCCCCAGCACATCCCAGACTTGGGCAGGGCAGGGAAAACTCCACATGGAGAGAACCATGAGCAGCCAGCACCACTGAAGGCCATCTCCTCCCCTCTTCTCCGGTAGCATGCTGCCTCCCCAAGGTGAACCTAACCGCACACTGGCTTACTATTGGGGATGAGGGGGGAGGGGGGATGTGCTGAAAATACTAGCACTGTAGCCTAGAACCTACTATTTACGGCGTGGGGGGGTTGGGGGGGATACCCTAGTAGCAATCTCCACTTCCCGAGCTCCCGACAACACATGCAGCTTTTCAGGACCTAGTGCTTCCTAAAGTGGCCAGGGTGTCAGTGAAAGATGCTTATGCCATGTGCCCCCGCCTGCACTGAACCCCAAACTGTGGGCAAAGGGAACTTCAGATTGCTATGGGAAACCGAGAAGCCAGCAAGGGCTAAATCATCAGGAATTAAATAATTCAAAGGCCAAACCCATCCCGGCCACCCAGGGCAAAGGCATCGTTAAAGTGTCTCAGGGGCTGGCTAGAGAGCCAGGCCTTCGGTTCAGGCGGCTTGGCGTCCTGCACCTCCTAGACGTCCACTCGGGACCGAACCGGAAGTGGGCTGTCACCCGCGCGCGCTCAAACTTTCTCCGCAGCCCATCCTCGCGGTGTCCCAAGGGCGCGGGCGCCGGCGGCCGGTTGGAGGAAGCGGGCAAGGAACACCCCAAACTCTGCACCGCCCAAGGCGCCGCGCCGCTCCGCGCCGCGCGTGCGGAATCCCAAAGTGCCACCGGAGGACACGAAGGAAACGCTCGCTCCGGCGGAACTCCAAGTTTGGCAACTTTGTCGGGCCGGCAAGGCGGTCGGCCGCGCGCCCCGCCCCGCGCCCCAGCCCGCGGCTCACCCAGCAGCGGCGTGGCCCAGCGCCCCCCGCGCCCGGCCCACCGCAGGCCCAGCGCCCCGCGCAGCGCCGCCAGGCGCCCCCCCAGGCCGGCCCCAGCGGGCGGCGCGGAGTGCTCGGTGAGGGGCCCCTGGTGGGCGCTGGACTCCACGGAAGGGGGCGCGCGCTCGGGGCCCAGCTCCCCGGCGTCCTGCGGCCCGCTGGGCGGCGGTGGCTTGGCGCTCGCGTCCCGGTGCCTGCTCCGCGCCAGCGGGACCATCTCGGCATCGTCGCGCCCGCTGGCTGCGCGCGCCCGGACGGCGGCGGCTGGGACCAGGGGGCGCAGCTCAGGAGGGTGGGTCGGGGGCGGGGCCGGGGCGGGCTCGCGCACCGGTTGTCATGGCGACAGTGAACGCCGGGGGCGGGGGCGGGGACGCCCGTAGAGTCGCGCGGCCCCGCCTTCTCCGCTCCGGACGCGACCCCCCGGCGACCGAGTGCGCACGCGCGAACGCTGACTCCGTGGCCCCGCCCGGCTGGGCGACGGGGGCGCGCAAAGGTGGGGATAAGGAACTGGGATCTGGGGGCGGGGCCAGACGGGAGCTGGCGGGAACCGGAGCTGCTGGGCTGGGGGCTCTCAGGGTGGCGGCATGTCCTTTTTGAGGACTATTTGAGGGTCTTTTTGAGGACCCATGACTTCAGGCAGCTGTCTTTCTCTTTCTCCTCCGCTCCGGGAGCTGCTTCCAAAACCTTGGCTACAGTTTCTGTGCATCTGCATTTTAAACCAGGGATTTTGGCTGGCTTGGGCTTTTTTGTTCGAAACAGTCAACTGCTAAATTGCTCAGACTGAGCTCTAACTTGAGATTCTCCTGTCTCAGCCTTCCTGGGCGGCGATTCCTCAATGGATACCAGTATTCATTCACTGTTAGACTTTTTTAAGGGACCGTGAGTTCTTCTGTAAAAGGAAAGACTTTTATCACTGCAGTTAATCCCTCCTGCTCTGTATATTTTGCGAGTGTAGACGTTTATTGGAGCATGGAACCTCTATTTTTAGACGATGGCCTTTTAAAGATGATTGAAAATGAGATGCAAAAAGCTTGAGTTCAGAAACAGTGCTTCAGATTGATCCACTGTTACCTCTGAGACCAATGCTGAATGTATTACCGTCAGGGTAAAGGAAATCTGATTCCATATGTATTAAAGATAATAATAGTTTCATGATACGGTTCTTAAATGATTAGAAAGACATATGGACAAAAAGATTGAGTATGTGAACTACGGTACTAGGTTGCCTGTCTCCTAAATGTGGCAGATTTAGGAACCCTTTAGCTGGTACCACTTCACCAGAAAAAATGCTTGTTGAATGAATGAATGCAGGAGATAACCAAGGATAGTTCAGAATACCACATGCTGAGTAACCTTTGGAAGTCACTTAGCTCTAATCCTCTTCTCTCTTCTCTCGTGACCCTGAAATTCTGGAGAATGTGAGGTCCTTCCTATTTATCTTCAGCTGCCCCTCACAGCCTGGCTGGGAAAGCTGCAGAGTTGCACTGAAAGGCCCCCCATGTGGGACTACTAGTTTTTTAAAATGGACCTTTTAGGCCTAGCTATGCCCCTGCTTTTATCCACACCAGCAGCATTGTGCCTAAGGCCACGGCCCTGTAACTTTCTGAACCTGTTTCCTCATCCCTAAAGGAGAGCGGGGGAGGAAGTATCTCACAATCATCAATGCTGCATCAGCATTTCTGCTCTGAATGTTCATAGTAGTTATCCAAATCCAAGCAACTGCTGAGTGCTCAAAGCACTGGGGGAGATGGAGGGCAGTGGTGAGTGCTCAGCTCTCCCAGGCAGAGGGCTGAAGGTCTAGGACAGGCTGCAAGCCAGGGGCAGCAGAGGAACGAACAACTATGGGAGTCAGGGGGTCCCCACTCCCTGGGCTTCAAACTTCTCAGCAGTTTGAGTTCTGGATCTGCCATCCATTCCCTGCTTCCACAGGTGCTGTAGAAAACAAGGCTGATTCAAGAGGGTCATGGAGCCTGTGTAAAATAGTAGGGAGCTCCTACTATTTGGAGTGTGCAAGCCCCACACCCTGAAGTAGCGTGTTCCCCCCCATGGAGAAAGGGGAGAGGAGAAAACTAGAGTCCAGGCTGACATACACCAGGCTTCTTTCGGTGTCTGTGACCAGGGAGTTCATTCAGATCTTTGTTCTTAGACCAGTGTCTGCCGCATAGTGGTGGGTGCTTGCAAACAAAAGCAAGTAACTTGCACAGACTGGACGCTGCATTTAAAAAAAAAAAACTGTTGGGCCCACAAATCAATTTGAGATCATTATGATTTAAAGGAAGCATTTGAAATTCTTCGTCATCATCCTTTCCAAGAGATTTCCAAGCACACCACAAAGAGGATTCCTAATGTGATACTGCAGCATATTGTGCCAAGACCTAAGGATTTCAAGGACAGGAACTGGAAAGAGCCCCTGTTCACCAAAGAATCCTTGGTCTGAGCTCTAGGGGGTAAACTCAATTCTTTTCTCAGGCTGCACAGTAAAAGCTTTTTATTAACTGGGTATGCTGGTGCAGCCTGTGATCCCTGCACCCTGGAAGGCTGAGGCTAATCACAAGTTCACACTCAATCTCGGTGGTTTAGTGATTTCACAAGACTGTCTCAAAACAAATAATACTAATAATATGAAAAGGATTGTTGAGCTGTAACAGTGAGGGCTCTGGGTCCAAGACCTAGTATTGTCCACAAAAAACAGTGGTGTTATCCAACTTTGGGGATGGAGACAAAGGAGATTATAAAGAGGGAATATAGACAAAATGAAACCCCTAAAATCATAGAGAAAGACTCTGCAGAATCATAAGGGTTAGCCATATTAAAGGAGTGATGGGGACATCAGATGGGCAATGAGGAAAAGTAAATGTGACCGAGGGAAGAATATGCTGGAAGACAGTCTCCTTTGTTTCTCTGCGTTGGTGTCTAAGAGACACATTTGGAACATCTAAGTGCTCCCCTTGTCCTCCCACCAGCATTCCTACTTGTGAGTGACAGGTGAGGAATGTAGCTTTTCTTCCTCACTGGGAGGTCCATCACTTGATCTCTATTTTAGAGCCATGTCCTAGAGTTAAATTCTCGACCTGACAGTTTTCTGGCTCAGTGGCTGCATCTAGGAGATGCAAAGTGCCTAAGCCCAGCACACCTCACAGCAGCTCAAACCCTGTGCAACCAAGTCTATCTGGGTAACATAGGACTTTGAGCAGAGCTCCAACATTAACTTGTCATTGTGTTTGTTACCATGTATTCCTTTAGTCTGGGGAGAACAGATGTAAATTGCTACTTTATAGCACTTCAGATTTTACCTCCTGTCTTTCTTATAGCTGACCTTGTAATTTAAACTGTTCATGCTCCAATGCATGTTCCTGAGAAAGCCAGAAAGTTCATTATTAGAACTAGTTATAGACACAGGGAAAAAAACGTCTCCACAGCAAGGGGGATGTCTGCTAGAGGGCAATGCCTGATAGAGGGCTGTTTAAGTCCTCAGTGCCTTAGCAGATGTTGGGGACAGGCTTTCCTTGTCCTCAATGCCTTAGCAGATATTAAAGACATTAAAGATTCACGTGCTGAGTTCTTGTCCCCAAAGACCTTACCGTTTAGTTGAGGAGGCAGAGTTTAAAATAAAAAAGTTTGGCTGGGGATTTAGCTCAGTGGTATAAGCACCTGCCTGGCAAGTACAAGATTGTGAGTTTGATTCCCAGTACCTAAAATAAAATAAAATAAAATAAAATAAAATAAAACAAAAAAGTTTATGTACAGCGTTTTATATACACATATTCCCTGGGCAATCTCATGGTTATGCTGGACATTTGCTGGACCCATATACCCCACAGCCCAAACCATGCTGCTTTTCGAATTTCTTCTTGGTGCCTTCAACTCTACAGTCCAAACGGACTTCTTTTCCATCTCCTTATTTCACTGATGGCACCCAGATTGTCACATTCCTCACAAAACTCATTCTTTTCTAAATCCCAGCACAGAGCTGAAGGCAGAATAGTGGTGGTACTGCCACATGCCCTATTTCTCCAGATGTAAACCAGGTCTTCTATTAATTTTTGTTCCAAAAGACATAATAGGGTTTATTTTCAGAGGAGGTCTTATTTTTTTCATGCACAACAACCTACATTTATTTGTGACGACCGGAGCCCACTCTGGCCACATGAGTGCACAGGGAAATGAGCACACTGGAACATTCAGCTTCTGTTCTGTGAGGTAAATGCAAATATTTACAAGGTTACTTTGCTTGACTGCAACCTCGTATCTGCTGGATGATTTCTCTTCAGTGACCTTTGTTGACAAGTATGTGCTTTCTGGGAGCCATGGAGAAGATAAAATGGTTGGGGGAGAAAGAATGTGGTGGGACAAGAGGATAGCTGATGGTAGTAACCAAGGCAGCCCAGGAATGGAGAGATGGAGGGAGAGTAGCCATGGACACATCTGAATATGAGCATCTCACCGGAAGCTGGAGGCAGAGGCAGGATGCCGCTATTGGGAGTCCCTCCTAGAACTGGGTGGAGGCTCAGAACCCCAAGCCTGACTCCATTTCCACTGCTTTACTTAATAGGCCCCCAGGAAAAGATGATACATCTGCTGGAAAAAATAAAGTCAAGCAAAATCCTTAGGTGAGTCCTTTCCAATGCAGATTCTGGGCCCCTAGTGTGCACATGGTATATTTGTGTGTGTTGGGGGTGTGTTTGCATCTCTCACCTAGGGATCAAGGTAAGATCGTGACCGGTGGTGGGATCCTGACAAGGCTCCCCAAAGTGCTCACCCTGGAGGTGGTTTAAGTCTCATGCCCCCCCCAAAGGAATCAGTTTCCAGCATTGGAGATCACTGTCCCCAGAAAATCAGGGTGTCTTTCTTTTTTGTCTCATCTCTCTTTTCTCTTTTTTCTTTTCTTTTCCTTTCCTCTATCTTTCTTCCTCGCTTATATTTTGCCCTTTTTTTTTGAAGACAAATATTTTATTAAACTCCTCAGTCATTACTGTTCAATCTCCTGCACTCTCATGAGGGACACATTCAGGAAAAGCAAGCACATTTTCTTCGCAGAAATCATGGAAAAATCAATACTGATGCATTTTCACAAAGATTACCTTTCATTCGTTTTTGGAGCTGTATTTAAGAGGAATCACTACCGAATGTCCATAGTTATTCTTCCTTGGTCATTTAAGATGGATCTTGGAAATGTCTTCAAAATACTACAGAGAATGAAGTAACAGTGAGACATGTACTATTTATAGTCATTGTATCTTTTTTTGTTTTTGTTTTGTTTTGTTGGTACTGATAATCAAACTCA